TGCTAAAAAGGTTCGTTGCCAAAAACAGTTCTAGGAGCTCATCCTTTGACAGTCGGTACAGCTTCTTTTTAGCCCAAGGGTTTTTTAGTAATTTAAAGAGATGACTTTTTAATTCTTTATTACGTTTCGTCAGTGTTCCACCCTTTAACTGGAGGATAGTAAAATTCCCTCCTTGTTCCAATTTTTCTTTTATGTCCGTCAGAGGTGTGGCTGAGTTATTGACCGAAAACGTGCTAAGTCCAATCTCTCGAAGCATTGCTCCCCATTCCGGTACCCAAATTCTGCCACCAGAAGATGAGAGAATTCCATTTCCAACCTTAGCAGCTTTACAGATTTTTATCAAATTAACGGATTCTAAATTTTCTGTCTTAAAGATTATAGGCCGTTCGTTAGGGAATTGATGGCATCTAGCTCGTTTACGTTCTTTTCTGCCTTTTCGATTCTTCTTACAAGAGGTATTCTTTCGATAGGCAGAGTTGAGTGACGGAGACCATCTTTTAATCAGGGCTTTCTCCATGCTGATAAGATCATGAGTCGGGACGAAAGCGATAGGTACGACAATATAATTTTTAATCCCCCAGTTACGAAACCAACTATAAAGTCGTGAATTATTAGCAGAAGAGGGGTTTGAGGTACGATATGTATGTTCACTCCATCTTTCAAAAAGGGGTCTGGATGTCTGTCCAATATACGAGGCACGACATCCGGGGTCAAGGAGAACTTATATACAAGAGGTCGGGTTTTCCCATTTATCCCTTTCGTTCGTAATAAGGTGAACCCAACTATCAATGAATTTATTTCCCCAGTTTAATTCCCCTTGACAAGCAAGAATGACAATGCAGAGTCTAAGAATCCTCTCAATTAATAATCTAATTCGTTTAGTTTGTGCATCGTTTCTACCGGTAAGCTCGTGGCGTACGTGGAGGTAGTGCCTAAGATCATTCCAAATATCAGTCTTCTGACGGATTCAGATGGTCAGTCTGGGTCGAGGGTGTTCTCGGAGCTCGTATCGCGGTTGATGGTTCACGGATCACGATCCCTCCTTGGCGTGGTGTGGGGGGCTTCCTGTAGAAGTACATCGTTCGGAGCTCAACGAGTTCGTCCATAGCTTCGGGTCTTCCTCGGTAAGCCATGCCTGCTTCTCTACACATCTCTTGGATAGTAGGTACACTTTTCTTCGTCAGAAACTTCCGTACTTGCTTCTTAAAGGCCGCTTCTGTCTTGTTATCCACATCAACTGGAGCGCCTTCCCACAGGGCAGAATCATGGATAGGGAACCCATTCCCTTCCTTTCTGACGTGTCCTCTTCCTCTAAGCATTTCACCCAGGTCGCATTCCTCCATGGTTCTTGGTGGCAGTTCCTCATTAGCTTCTTGTCGACCAATTTTTGCAGGTGTTCCAGCAGGGCTGATTTGTCCACCAGAAGTTTGGCCAGCCTGTCTTTTTCGTTTATCAAATCTCTCATCATGCAGTGCTTCCTCTTCTTCTTCAGAGTCCGAGTTAGC